CAGAGAACACGATGTAAAACGAGCGTGGTGCACAAAGCTGTGCAGCCCCGCTGTGCACGTGGGGGGGGGGGCTGATGTGTGTGTTGTGTGTGTGTGTGTGTGTGGGGGGGGGGGGGGGGGCGAGCTTCTGCACATCAGCACATACAGGCTTCAAAAACCCGTCTCTCTCTCTCTCTCTCTCTCTCGTTCTGTCGTTTCTCGTTGGGAAACTCGGTGGCGTTTTCCTGGTGAGGAATGCGTCTAAATGGTGTCAAATGTGTGAATGAAACCTCTGAAAATACAGTAATTCCTCCCCGGTTTTGGGTCCTTCTTTAACCGCACGCGCACCGCAGATGTCGACAAAAAAAACAACAACAAAAAGAAAAACCCCCGAGAACGGGTTAAAGATAAGATTGGACGGCTGGGTCTGTGTGTGTGTGAACTCAGACCTGGGGTCTCAGTTTCAACAACTGTTCCATTTCCTGTTAAAAAGCCGCAGAAAGTGGGACGCTCTTCACCCTCTCAGCTCTGCACTCAGCGCCTACAGGCGGTGTTACACCTCAGGGGCGGAAGAGGAGACGTCTTTTCGCACCGACTTTTTTCCGTTCAGAGCTCCTCGCCGGCCTTCTCTAACGCCGCCTCATTGGACGCAAACATCCTCTGAGAGGCGGCCATTTTGGGCCTCGGAGGGGGGGTGGAACGGGGATTTGGTTTTATCTTTTTTGCCTCCTTCAGGTGAAACACAGCCACTTATTTCGGGCTCCGTTTCTAAAAGGCCGCGTGCCTTTTTCTCAGACGAGGACGCCGTCTCTTTGATTCTCCGACCGGAGTTGCCGTCGGTTACCGGCGATCCCAGAGCCCAGAGTTTTTTAACCAAACGGTCCTCAGCAAACGTTTAATAGCCGGCCTGAACCCTGACCTCTGACCTCTGACCTCTCCCCACGGCTCACAGCCTCCGTCTGCCGAAGCGATAGGTGTACAAACTTCCTGTTTTCTGTTGGTTTCCTGTTTTTGTTCTCACACAAACCTTGGACAGAAAACGCGTTTGCGTCTGACAGTGAGAGAGAAAAACCGGCCCGAATAAAGTCAGACGGGAGAGCCTCGCTTTGCCGACTGTGGTCTGGACGGAGAGAAAAAACAAAAGAAAAAACGGAGAATATGTGATGTGTTTAATCTGTTGGGTTCCGTCTGTTATCGGGTTTTTGATGCTCCCGTCCTCCATTTGTAACACAACGAGTGCACAAAACCTGATCAGTCTGGGTGAACTCTGCCTCACACGCTCCCCCCTCTGGCTCCGCACAGGACATAAAAACGGAGAGCCAGAAACAGCAACCAGACAGCTGCCCGCTTTATACGTCTGTGTGTGTCCACATTCGCTCATAAAGTCGGAGTTAAACTATTACGGCATATCGGATTTTCTCCTATTGACACTTTCCACAGATTATTTGGACGTCAGCTCGTCAAAACGACGGAATAACAACAGTAGCTTAACGCAGACGTTCTCTCCGTTAACCTTTCTGCAGCTCAGGCCTCTGTTGACAACATCAACAGAGATTAGTTTGCCTAATATTTTGGAATAATCTACTTTGGCATCAAAGAGTACAGCCTGAAGTGAAGGTAAAGCTTATGAGCTGGGGCTGGAAATGTCACCTTTAAGGGTTTTAAGATCAAGGAGACGAGGTCTAAGTGTTTCTTTCTAACCAGCAAATACACAAAAAATATTTAGAAAAACATAGTAATAATATCCCCCTTGAGTTATGTTCCAAAAAGTCAATATCAAAATTGACAAAAACCTCAGTAGTGAAGTTTAGTAGTGACAAATCTGTTTCAGTTTACAAAAATGTACATATTAGAAACATGTAGTCGCAGGAGTGAGATATTATTACACTCACCTTTTGGACTAGTTTGCTAGAAGGAAGAAGATTTCTGTTAATTTCTTTTCACACCTGTAGTTTCTCCAGATGTTCGTCCCGTGTTGGGACCCAGCTGAGGGGAGGTCAAATAGTTCCTCTTACTTTTTTGTGACTTTACGGGAAAAAATTAAACAAACGGGTGCTGGAAGGAAAGGGGAAAAAATGAATAACAAAACGCATCATAAATTAACGTGTTTGATTTGTGTGTGTGTGTGTGTGTGTGTGTGTGTGAGCATCTGTGTGCTGCCCGGTAATAAATGCAGGACCGCCTCACTCTAATCAAGCTGATTAAAAATTCCTGCGCGCACAGCCGGAAATCGCACTATAGACGCGTGCGCGTGAGTGTGCGCGTACGCGCACGTGTGTTTATGTATCGGCGCGTGTTTTCGGTTACTACCCCCCCCCACTTTTCAACACACACACACACACACACACACACCTCATCACTTTCTGCACTTTTTTTAGTCTCTATCGGCCCGGACTTTTTTCGGACCGAGACGCGGAAGCATCAACTATATTTCTCCCCCTTTTTCCACTTCTCACGCGCGGTAGTTGCACCTCCTTCCTTCCTTCCTTCCTCGTGTATCTCCCCCCTTCTTTTTCCTCCTTTTTTTTTACCCCCTCTGTCACGCCATTTGAATTGAGGAGGAGAAAGGGGAAGAGCAGAGAGGCAGGCAGCGGCAGCACCAGCAGCGCGGAGAGAGAAGAGGGGGAGTGATGAGTCAATACAACTAATAATTTAATGGGGACAGAGAGGGAGAGACGGAGTGAGAAGGGGAGAGACAGAGAGGGAGATAGAAAGAAAGAAAGAGGAGCTCCGTCCGGACGCCTATCCCCATCCGACAGGACGCCTCCTACTATCACTACCGTTGGCAGCTCTCTTAAACGTCCACAGCGAGCCTTATTCCACCTCGACATCGGAAAGTAAACCGCACTTTTTGACCCCCTTTTCTCCTTGTTTCATTCCGCGAACCTGTTTCGACTGTGTCCGCATATCGGCTCCACAACGCCTCCGTGGCCGGAGCACACAGCCGGTGGTTGTTGTTGTTATTATTATTATTATTTTTCTCTCTCTCTATCCTTCTCCCGGTCCGCCGGTAGTGTAGTCACATCTAGCTAAGCCGACGTTAAGCTATTTTTGTGTTCGTTAGTCTCTATCTCCCTCTCTCTCCGCGAACATACAACAGCGAAAGGGGGTTTTTTCGCTGGGTCTCGGCGGCGGTTGGTTGCCGTTACAACCGTTCGCGGGTGCCCAACGGCTCGCCTGCTCACCGTCTCTTTTTTATTTTTTTTTATTTTGGACGTTGTGGTGCCAACTAACGCCGAAAGTCGGCGTCACTTGTAACGGGCGAACGCGGCTAAACCCCGCCGACTTTTTATGCTAAATGTGGCTGTTTTTTAACGCTTTTCACAGCCGTTTTTTCCTGCTTCTTCTTCTTCTTCTCTTCCTCCAGTTGGACCGAATTAGCTAACGTTCGGGCTAAACTCACGCGCGCACTGATGCACACATAACCGCTCACCAATGTCCGCCTGTCACGGTCCGTCTCGACCCCGTCGTCCCTCGCACAGACCCGGGTTGTTGTTTTTTCTCTCCGCCTGCCAGCCAGCTGGGGGTGAAGCGTGTTTCTGAGCACTGATTTTTTTTTTTTTTTTTGACAACCCTTTCGCTGTCATGCACTCGTAGAGACCCGGGAGCCGTTTGGGTCTTTTTTTTTTTTTCTTGTTTCTTCTTCTTCTCTTCCTTTTTTTAAATTTTTTTTATACACTAGCCAAAGTTGGAGGAGACTCGTTATCCAGGCTGTTATATGCTCTCCAGTGCTGAAGTGCTGCGTTTCAGGTTGGTTTGGAGGCTTTTAATTTGTTCATACTCAACTTATCCTACCTTAACTTCCCCTTTAGTCCCTAATGTAACGTGTCCATTTGAACTATTGCTCCAGGTTTTTAGTGTTTTAAGGTCATTTAAAAATCCCGACCTGGATCTGGACAATATCCGGGTCTGGATTCCTTTGCCCCCCTTCCCTCTCTTCTCCTTTTTTCTTTGATGGGAATTAGTTGCCTCATTGCATGTTATGAATGGGGGAGTTCATGATCTTTTTGCGTGGGGGTGGATGGGGTGATGATTTAGCCCTTTTTCTTCCCCTTTTCCATCTCTGACAGCAGCATTCCACATCGTGTAGATGTTTGGCACGCGTCATTAGGCTGTAATTGATCAAATCTAGAATCTGACCCCGGTTGCGGTGGATAATGAACGTCCCGCCTCGGTTTTGCGGCGTGAAATCTGCATTCAGAAGCACCTGTGGGTGATGGAGCCGCCCTGGGGTTTTTTTCCTGTCCGCCTCTTCCTCCCTCGTCTCTTCTTTCCCTCTTTAACTTTTTTTGATGACTAGCCTCATGAGTCAGCAGCTGCCTGTTTCGGAGTTTCCTCAAACTGCTTTTCCCTCCTTCCTAAAGTTGTAAACTTATTGCCCGCAATGAAAATCCTGCTGCCGTTGCGAAATCTAAAAATAAAATCGGCACCTGTAAAGTCACGTCACCGACGTTGTGCGTGTGTGTGTGTTTGTGTCTGTGTGTGTGTGTGTTTGTGTGTGTCTGTTGCAGCAAAACGCCGCGGCGGCCTTTCGCCTCCTTTTCCCTCCGAGCTGCGTCACCGATGTGAGGCCGCAAAAAAGTGACTCACAAACCGAACCGCGGGACCTCGCGTGAACCTCGTTTTTTTTCTCGAGCCGTCTTCTCTCGAGTGGAATCTCCCGGCAAAATTAATGTGTTTTCACTAAAACACGGGGCTTGTTTGCCCCCTCTTGCATGGGGAATCTCTAGTGGGACGGCCATGCATAATGCATCGGGGGAAAATGGGAACATTACAGCCTTAACATAACGTCACCGGTGGTCTGAGTTGTAATAACTGAGGCGAATTGACAGTTTTCTTCTAAAATGGCTTTTTCTTAGGCTTCTCTACTACTTAGAGTGCTTTTTTTGCTCCCGAAATGTCCCTTCGCGTCTTCACACGCAGGCAATATAAACAGAAGATTTAGTGTTCGTTGCTCTTCTATCACTTTGCAGCTGGATGTTTGACCGTTTTTCCGTCTTATTCTTTTTTTTTTTCAACCCAGGTGATAGCGAGCAGAGGTGCTGAGAATGATGGACCATCTCGGCGAGACGTGTCTGGGCAAGGACAGCTCCGAGCTGGTCAGCAGCATGGCGGAGGCCAAGGCCCCCCCGGCCAAACTGCCCCGCCTGGAGCAGAACGGCAGCCCTCTGGGCCGCGCCCGGCTGGGCAGCACCGGGGCCAAGCTGGCCGGGGTCCCCTACAAACCCGGCGGCCACCTGCTGAAGACCTGCCACAAGAGAGGTGAGAGGAAGAGCCCCGTTCGCCTCATCGCGCTCATCCTGTCCTGTTCTCGGTTTCCGGATCACCTAAAATAATCCCATTAGGGTCATATGAAGGGAGATGAATATGAATTATGTGGTTTCCACCTCAGGTTTTAGAGGGACAGCTTTCACCCGTTTGGTAAAAAGATCTTTTCTATCACAAACACGTTTGTTTTGTTTGTCTCCAAATTAGTTAAAAACTCCAATCGCCCATTTTATTTCACCTAAAATAATCTCATTAAGGTCATATGAAGGAAGATGAATATGAATGCTGTGGTTTCCACCTCAGGTTTCACCCGTTTAGTAAA